TATTGGGGTACACAATATATCACCACATAGATCACATATTGGGAAGACATAAAGTAAGTCCCAACAGATACAGGAAATATGAAATAACACCTTATATTATATCTGACTATAGTATAAAAAAATCCTAGATATGAACAACAAGGGAAACTACAGGAAGCCCATGAACTATGGAGATTAAAAACACTACCCAACAATGAATGACTCAATGAGAAAATAAGGGAATTTAAAGATTCCTAGAGTAGAATGAAAGTGAGCACACAGAACACCAGAATCTGTGGGACACAATGGGGGGCAGTTCTACGAGGAAGGTTTATAGCCCCAAATGCCTAAATTAAACAAAACCAGAGAGTTCAGATAAATAGCTTACCTCTAGGCCTTGGGAAAACAAACCCACAAACAAGTAAGTGGGGATAAATAATTAAGAACAGGGCAGAAACAAATGAATTAAAAATGAACAAAACAATACAAGGAAACAAGGAAATGAAGAGTTGGTTCTTTGAAAAGACGAACAAACTTGATAAATCTGGGGACTGGGGAGATGATTCAGCAGTTAAGAATACTTACTGCTCTTCCAGAGGACCTGGATTCAATTCCCAGCAACCACACAGCAGCTCACAGCTGTCGGCAGCTCCAGTTCCAGGGGCATCTGACCCCCTCTTCTGGTGCCCACAGGCACCAGACACGCTCACAGTGCACAAACATGCGTACAGGTCAAGCACTCACACACATAAAATAGAACTTTAGGAAGTTAAAGGGGTGACAAATCCTCAACTAAGTTAACTAAAACAAATGGAGAGAATATCAAATTAACTAGAGGCAACATAGGAGACATTGTAACAAATATCCAAACAAAATCTAGAAAATTATAAGGACATACTTGAAAATCTATGTTCTTAGAAGTGAGACAATCTAAAAGAAATGGAAGTGTTCTAGATGCATATGACCTACCAAAATGTAAGAAAATTAAATAAATAATTCAAACGCATCTATAACCAGAAATTAGATTGAAACAATAGTAAAAAGTTTCCAACTCTAAAAAAAAAAAAAAAAATCCCAGGACCAGATGAACTCACTGCAGAATTCTGCCAGACTTCTGAGGAGGATTAAGATCAATACTACTCATTTTTTTTTGCATAAAATAGAAAAAAGAGTGCTTTAAGACTCTTTTTGTGAAGGAGTTCTTACCCTGATACCCAAATCAGATTAAGACACAAAAACGAAAATAAAACTATATAGCCCTATCTCCCTGATGAATGTAGATGCAAAATCCCCAATAAAATACTGACAAGACAAATTCAAGATCACATCATAAAGATCATTCATCATCACCAAGCTGGCTTCATTCCAGAGACTCAGGGATGCTTCAACATGCATAAATCAATAAATGTAGTACATCATATAAATGGACTCAAAGACAGAAATCACATGAATATCTCAATAGATGCAGAAAAGTCTTTCAACAAAATCCCACATCCTTTTGTGATTAAAGTCATGGAGAGGTTAGGGATACAAGGGGGATACCTCAAGAAAATAAAAGACGTGTACAACAAACCTATGGCCAACATCATAAGGAATGTAGAAAACCTCAAAGCATTCCCGCTGGGATCAGGAAGAAGGCAAGGGTGTCCACTCTCTCCTTCTATTCAACGGAGTGATTGAAGTCTTAGGCAGAGCTAAGGCAAAATAATTCAAAGTATTCTTATTTGCAGATGACATGATTCTATGCATAAGAGACGGTTCAGCTTCCACCAAAAAACTCTTAAAAATTAATACGTAAAATTGGTAGCCTTTCTATATACTGGTGACAAATGTATTGAAAAGGAAATCAGGGAATCAATCCAATTCATAATAGTTACACACACACACACACACACACACACACACACACACACACACACACACACAGAGAGATTTAAATTACAGGACTGGTATGGGTACTGGGAACTGAACTCAGAACTTGTAGAAGAGTAGTAATGGCACAATTGCTCGTAACCACCAAGCTGCCTCTCTAGTTTCTGTAGCCCATTTTTAAGATGGAATTACTTTCTTGATTTTTTTTAGTTCTTTTTATGTTCTACACACTAATTATATAGTGTCTCAAGACTACACCTAAGCAAGGAAACAAAAGAGCTGTACAATGAAAACTTTAAGACATTGAGAAAGACACTGCTATCTAAATATTTAAGTCTATACCCATAGATCTGTCCTAACAAAAGCAATCTACAGATTTAGTGTAATCCCAATAAAAATTCCAAGGACAGTCTCCATAGATATAGAAAAAAAGTAAAGTTTAAATGGAACCACAAAACACTGAGGCTAGCCAAAGCAATCCTTCTTAAAAAGATCACTGAGAAATGTATTAGTATATCTGAGATCAAGTTATACTACAGAGCCATAGTAATAAAAACAGTGTGGTACTGGCATTAAACCAGACATATATTAACAGAATCAGTAGAATAGAGGACCTAGATGAAGTTCATACAACTACAGCTACTTGATTTTTGACAAAGATGCCATAAATGTATATTGGAGAATGGGCAGCATCTTCAACAAATGGTGCTGAGAAACCTGGACACCAACATGCAGAAGAATGAAACTAGATCCCCATCTCTTACCTTCAGGACTCAACTCAAAAAGGATCAAGGACCTCACCATGAGACCTGGTACTCCACTTCAACATAAAAATGTAGGTAGAGACTTTCTAAATAGGATTCCAATAGCACAGGAAGTAAATGGAACAGCTGACATAGGATTTCCTGAAATTAAAAAGCTTGCGGACAGCAAAAGAAATTGTCAATCGAGTGAAAAGGCTATCCACAGGATGGGGGAAAAATCTTTGCCACCTGTAAATCAGACAGAGAGTTAGTATCTAGAGCATACAAAGAACCCCCCCCCCAAAAAAAAATCAAGAAAGCAGTTAAAATTTTAAAACGGGCTACAGAAACTAGAGAGGCAGCTTGGTGGTTAAGAGCACTTGCCAGCCAGGCAGTGGTGGCGCACGCCTTTAATCCCAGCCCTCGGGAGGCTGAGGCAGGTGGATCTCTGTAAGTTCAAAGCCAGCCTAGTCTATAGAGCGAGTTCCAGGACAGGCTTCAAAGCTACACAGAGAAACCCTGTCTCGGGGGTGGGGTGGGGTGGGGGAAGCACTTGCCACTCTTCTAGAATATCTGAGTTCAGTTCCTGGCATGCACACCAGGCAGCTCACAACTGCCTGTGACTTTAGCATCAAGGGATTTGACCTCTCTTCTGCCCTCCGGGCACTGGTAGACACTTAGACAGACAGACAGACATCACACACGTAAACTTAAAAAAAAATCTTTAAGAAAATATGTTTATAGAACTAAACAGAATTCTCAAAAGAAGTACAAGCATCCAGGAAACACTTAAAAGGTGTGCAGCAACAGCAGCCAATGGAGAAATGCAGATCAAAACTCTTAAATAGGTTCCATCTCACCCTGGTCAGGGGGCAGTCATAAAGAACCACAGTAACAACACAGGCTGCTGACATGATGTGAGGAAAGGAGACTGCTGTACGTAGAATAGCAATCTGCTCTAATACTGTTCTGCCGGGCCAGGCCAGATGTGCTCACTGCTGCAACATGGGTGTTACCAGGGTAATCACCCTCTCTCTGATAAGATTTGAAGTCTGCTCTACAGGAGGGAATTCATGCCTGATACTGTAAACCTCCTTGTTCAAAAGTCCGTGGCTGTGGAGGTCATAGGCCCTTGAGGGAAACCTACTATTAATAATACTAATACTAATACTAATACTAATACTAATACTAATTTTGCTAAGTTGTCATATTGCCAAACTGCCATCTAAGTATTTATGTTTATACTCAGAGGTCTATGCTGTTGTCAACCTTGGTGAGAGAAGGTTCACAGTGGGCAGCAATAAATGTAGAGACTCATAACCAGCTCAAAGATTAGGAATAACCGACTGCATTACTGTGTATGCTCAGCCCTTTATGAGACATCTATATCAACCCTCAGTCCTCAAGGCTCAGGGAATAGGGAGTATCCTGGAAGAAGAGGTAGAAAGAATTTAAGAGCTGGCAGGTGTGGAGGAGCACCGTGAAATTCTGTCTTCTGGATATGACATGGCCGTTGCAGTAATGTATGCCCAGCCGCTCTGTCACCTGCACAAGGCCTACACAAGATCGGTCCAGTCAAAATTCAAGTGTGAGAAACTATGGCAGTGGATGATTACGTGGAAAGGGAAAATTATTTTTTCTGGGAGTGTGGCCACTGGTAGGTTTCCCATGCTCCTGTGGATGATCCTATGCTCATCCACATCTTGACAACATTAATTAGACTCAGTAGGTTACATTAAAAGCCAAAAAGAAAAGGACGCAAAAAGAGGTGTTGGGGAGGTCTGGGAGGAGTTGGACGAGGGCAGTGAAGATGGATAAGACAAAAATATATTGTATATGTGTAAAAAAAAAAGAAGCCACGAAGGACTGAGTCTTTTGCTTACTGACCCTTCCCTGCCGGCTTCAGACTACAGCAAGAAGTCCCTCGGCCAAGCAAACACATTTGTTAATCACGTCTGCGTGCCTGGCTCTGCATTAAGAGCAGTAAGGGGACCGTGAGACACAGTCCCTATCTGAAGTGCCCAAACCAACTGGGGGAAAGCAATCCATACCACAAACATGTGTGCTCTACACTAACCATGCTTTCTCCCTGATGCCAGAGCCCCTAGAAAGACTCAGATCAAAGGACAATCCATTCACTTCCTGGATAGTTAATAAGAAGAGTATCCTTACCCCAGCCCTTACCCCACCAGTTCAATATGTTTCATAAACTCAAGACTTTTAGTTCAACAAAAACTCAGCTGTGCACTTAAAATAATACTTCTTGTGGGGGTATTTGCTCTACTCGTTTCTTCTTAACAAATTTCTGTCTTAAGTATTATCCAAAGAATACATGCAATTTATCTTTTTTAAAATTTATTTCATATCCTGTTCTATCCGGATGACAGACAGGACAAAGGTCAGGTGTTAGGAGACATGCCACTAGCCACCTGGGCAAAAGCAGAGAAATCTCCCGGCTGTACTAAGCCCTGAAGATTTGTCTAGAACAATAGATAAAATTATTTGTTCTGCCTACCCCACAGGTTTGCTGTAGAGCTCAAGCAAAACCATGTATATAGAAGTACCCTAAAAAGTTTAAAGCAGCATTCCAATATAAGGTATTAAACGCTTTGCCCTTTTCCTTTGTTCCTCTGAAGTCATAGTCTGTGTTTGGCTTGTGCTTGTGGACAGAAAACTCTGAGGGTGGTGGTGGTGGTGGGTGCTCCTAAGCACAGCGAAGCTTGTCTGCTTCCTTTTTCTTGGAGAAGGTACTAGGGAATCCTTGCTTACGTGGCATGTCCTCTGCTTGGGGTGACCATGCTACAGAGTGGGATCATCAGTGTAGAGGAGAGGGTGCCCTAGAAAATTCCATAAATTGGACTTTCCAACGGTGTTCAGGAGCCTGGGCTGGAATTTCATACGCACAGGTGCCCGTTTCCTGAAGGCAACCAGAACATCGAAACCATAATTGTCCTCACCTTAAATTGTAACGATTTGATGAGTTGACTACGGAACCGAGATTGGCACAAAATTAGTGGTCGATTAACGTTAACCAACACAATGATGTGTTTATTGAGTCGCTGGGCCCCAGGCTCTTCATGGAATAGAGGAGCAAGACCCTGTTCCTGCAACTAGAGAGGCTGAAGGGCTGTCGCTGCAACCGAACGTTATGAATCATAGGGAATTAAAAAGTGCCCCCAGGAACTTCATTTCTAGGAAAAGTCTCGTTGGCTGACTTCTAGTGTCCAGCCAGCCCGATGGGATAGAGGGAGCCTGATTTAAGGTTTGGCCACGGTTCTTACTATTGCACTTCCCAGCAGCGAAGGGGTTTCAGTCGGAAACGGTGAATTGAGTTTTAAGCCCAAACAAAGTTGTAAGTCGCAGGAGCCAGTGGGTGAATGAAGGTCTGAGGAGCTTGGAGCTTCTGGTGCTCGGCGCTCACAAAGCGGAAAACGGCTCTAGGCTCTTCCCGCAGTCTCCAGGTGAGGACCGCGGGAGGTTAGTCATCACTTACGGTGCGGATCCGAGAGCAACCGGATCCCCATCCCGCCCGCGCGCGCAGTCTAGGTGGCACGGATCTCGGCCGAGGCTCAGGCGCAGCTTCCCCAGGCAACAGTTCCACGTGGAGAGGAGGGAAAGTTTGCGTGCCCGAGACGTCCGGGCAGCAGACGGGAGCACCGGGCTGCAGCCTCGCGGTGGGCCGTGCAGCCAAGCCGGGAAAGCGAGCACCGCGGGCCCCGCCACGGGACGCGCTTCCAGGCCCCCGCCCTGCGCACCCCACCCCCTTCCCGGGCCGCGCACGCAGCCAGCGGCGGCTGTCAGAAGTCGCCGGAGCCGCTACGGAGAAGCAGGGCCGACTTTGCACCCAGGACCCAGGGCCTCGGATTTCTCCGCCGGCCTTGGAGAAGCAGCCCGGCCTCCCCTCCCCGGCTGCAGAGCGGCGCGGGCTGGGCGGGACGTCCCGGGAAGGTCGGCGGCTTGTGGCCACGGCCCGGCCCGGCTCCGGCGCGCCGAGGAGCAGAATCGGGGGCCGGCGTTCGCTCCCGCTCTGTCCCGGGCGCGCCGGAGTCGGGGCGGCTGCTCCGGCTGCAGCCTCGGGGACGCCGCCTTCCTCCGCCCAAGCTGCCGGCGCCTCTGGGCCACTGCGAGCCGCTCGGGACGCTGGGGGCGAGCTTGCCCATCAGGTAGGGAAGGCTGCGGGGTTCCTTAGGCTTCGGCGGCTCGGGCGGGCGTGTTGCTGAAAGTTGATTTGAAATGCATCCAAGAGTGAGCCGGGCCAGTCGCGGCTCCTCCCTGAGGCGACTCCTTTGCTCCTGCAGACGTTCCCGGCACTGGCCGACCGGCGGGAGCACCTCCCCGCGCGCCCCGCACGCCCACTCCCGAGCGCCCCCAAGCAGAGCGCCGCGCCAGGAGTACGGAAGCAGGCGGGACGGTTTCCGAGTCCCTTACTCTGCCTCTCTCCGACCCAAGACAGGTGAGGGTCGAAAGTGAGTGTCGGGTCACGGGGTGTCGGACCTGGACAGTCCCGTGCTTGGCCCAGGCTCCAAGAGGAGGCGCACCCCCACCCCATCACACGCAGTAGCCTAGTTCCTGTAGAGGGGTCCCCAGGGGCCACATTAGTATAGGATGGGGCGGAGCCGGTCTTGGAATGGGAAACCTGGGGACAGGGTTGGGGGTGGGGGTTAGGAGAACGCAGTTAGGGGGCGGAGGCCTAAGTACACAACGCGTTGACTTCAAGTGAAATCAGATCCGTCAGAGCAGTTCACGGTGACTCTTCTTTCTCCTCCCACCCCACGTTTCCCTTGGCTGGACTCTACCCTCCAGGCTCATTCTTGTTGCCCTGGACACTCCTTCTGTCCTTTCCCAAGAGTGTGGCAACCGAGGGAGCGGAGTCCCAGAAGGCACGGAAGCTAGACGCATCCCTTTCCCGGCTCTACAGGTCCTCCAGGCTCAGCCCGAACATGTTGGACGGCCTGAAGATGGAGGAGAACTTTCAAAGTGCGATTGAGACTTCAGCCTCCTTCTCGTCTTTGCTGGGTAAGTGTTCAACTCCATTCATCCCGATGCGTCCTCCTGCTGCCAGGCTGGGAGCTGAGGACGTCAGCTCTCGGGTACCGGGTTAGGCGATCAGGCTAGCACCCTCTTGGTGCACGTAGCGGCGCCCACTCTCTGTCATTCCGTGTCCATCAGTCCTTTTGAGACGTCCCTATCATGCAACCAGCAAGCCTCCTCAGGCCTCACGAGCTCAACTTTGAATTCCCCAAAGCCTTGTGGGGCGGGCGAGCATGTTCACAGGCGTTTGAGTGGCAAGTGATTAATAATACCCAGGGCTGGATTTTTAATCATGGAGCTGATCGACGGCTCATAAATGCCACCGGTTTTTCAGAGGCCTATGGCCGAGCATGGGCAGCAGAGGGCCGAGCCTCCGGAGCGCCCAAGTTCTTCTCTTCCCCCACCAACTACAGCCCCAATTTTAGTACTGGGCATGGCCCAGGGGCTTTTCCGGGCTGGTAGGCAGCGCTGCTCTGGGATTAGCTTGCACGGCAGGGCCCTCGCCTGGTCTTTAATTAACTGAAGCCGGATCCCAGTTCCGCAAGCCCGGTATCCCCCTACCCCCAACCTAGCCACAGCGGAGGAGAAGATCAAGGGGTCCAGAAGAGTCTTCCAGAGCGCAGGCCAGCATTTCTTGTGTTAGCTGTGTCTCCCCAAATTTTGTTTTTGGTGTTTTCAAGTTTGGGGAAAAAGGAGGTTTTTTTTCTCTCTTTCTTCCTTCTTTTCTTTCTTCCTCCTCTTTCTGCAGGAGAGATTTTTCTTTTGTCATATAAACCTCTTGCCTCTTTCCCTAACTCTAGAACCAATAGAGTGGGTTGAAAAATTTCGATTGTAGAAATCATATCCAGAGAGACACCGCCAGCTAACCTCACCCCAACAGTCCAGAGGAAACGAAATCACGAAGCCCATGTTCCCCTTCCTCCAGCCCCCCTTTCAAAAATGCCAGGATCCTCTCTCTGGAGCAAGAAGATGCAGGCCAGAGTGTGTGCGGACTTAGGCGCATCGGGTTTAGTTCCGTGTGTCCTATGAACGAACCCACGTTCACTCTAACACCCGGATGGTGGCCCGGGATGCTGAGACCAAGGAAACAGAAATTTACAGTTGAGAATGATCGCGCTGCTTTCTCCAGCCTTTCTTGGTGTCTTCCCACTCCATAAAACGACCTGTCCGGTTTACAAGCGGGCGGCTGTTCCCCAAAGCAGAAAGTGAGATTAGTGTAGTTACGCTATGGAGAAGGACAAGCCCTTTGGGACATCGTGGACAAGAGTGTTCTTGTGGCGGGCACAAGGGCTTTTTTAAATGGTTGTGAAAAGTGTCAACAAAGGCGGCCGAGTATTCTTCCCTCGGTGTGTGTGTGTGTGTGTGTGTGTGTGTGTGTGTGTGTGTGTGTGTGTGTGTGTGTTGGCCGACGGAGAGGGGGTGGGGGGTGGGGGGTCAAGCAGGCCCTCACTAGAATCACTAGAACAAGATAAGAAGGGAACAAGTCAAAAAGGTCAAGGGGTAGGGCAGGGAAGATTCCCTGACCGGACTAAGGTTTGTCCCTCCACGCTTCACTTCTGAGCATAGGGTATCCAGTACTCTGACCCCACCCTTCGCAGGGTCTCTGCGCTCAGCTTTATTTTTTCCCCATCTTGACATTTTCTAATTATAAAAAGCCACCTGCAATTTACTCGCCAACCAAGACGTAGGAGGGATTCACTAGTTTGACCAGTACTGAGCTTGCTAGGGAAGAGATGGTTATTTTTCTGCACCCACAGATTTTTTTTAAAGAAAACAGAAAATGTTAATTTTCCTTTTAAAAATAGAACGCAGTTGCAAGCAAATTATTATTGATCATTTAAAAGTAGTCAAAGGACACAAACATAGTGATTTAATGATTGATTAATGACGACGACTTGAGAGTCCCGGGAGCACAAATTTATTTGCAATCTAATTTTACAGGATGCATGAATGATAGTGATGGTCCCTGGGTCTGTCTAATAATTAAGGCCATTTATTGATTTCAGTTCCCTCCCTCGGTCGAACTTATACTTTGCTACTTAGTCTTTGTTTATTAGTAACGCTATTGCTGGGTTTGATTTTTTCTAAATAGCTGATCATCAGGGGACTTTCCTGAGGGGATGCACGGCCCGGGGGGTATATCTGTGGGCCTGATTCGATCATGAGAGTGTTTCACGGGGTTGGCTTGCGTACGTGGCTCATGGGCGAACGTCTGTTGCTGCTGTAGGCAGAGCGGTGAGCCCCAAGTCTGTCTGCGAAGGCTGTCAGCGGGTCATCTCGGACAGGTTTCTGCTGCGGCTCAACGACAGCTTCTGGCATGAGCAGTGCGTGCAGTGCGCCTCCTGCAAAGAGCCCCTGGAGACCACCTGCTTCTACCGGGACAAGAAGCTTTACTGCAAGTACCACTATGAGAAGTAAGTGCTTGCGTCGCCGCCGCCGCCACCGCCGCCGGAGCGCGCCCACTCATCGCACCGGTGTGCGCTGGGGACTGTGTCTTCCTGCCTCCTCTTCGCCTTTCCGTGAGGCGTAAGAGACGCCCGCAGGCAAGACCAGTAAATCTCACAGGCATTAGCGTTCCGTACAGGCCCTGGGCTGCGGGGATTTCATCTGTGCGCGCAGCCCGGGCGGGAGAGAGCCGCACTGCGTCATTTCTTTTTGGTCGCGAATATACTTTTTAATTATTCCAAGGTCCTTAACCCTGGGCTCGGCCGTTTCCAGAGATTACTTTCTGTGGTTCTGGGACACCTTCAAGCTTAGTCCTGGGTTCACCGGAGAGCCAGGCGGACCACCAGTGACCAGCGACCCTTTTCTATTCCGTTTTAATCAAGTGTTAGCGCCGCTCTTGGGTTTGTGCTCAGTGGTAAGGCGGTATGGATCGGGAGGTTTCTGTCCCTTGGGCACATTTCTCGCCCTGGTTTGGGCAAATAGGATTTGGAAGTGGTTTACCTGCTTCTCTTTGCGTTTCCAGTCATTCCCTCCTCAGGGTGTCGCAGGCTCTGGGATGCCCACAACGTTGCTAGGTCGGAGAGGGCCTGATCTAAAGCCCCCTGAGGCATCTGCACCCAGTTCTAGACTAAGGAGGTTGTCTGACAGGCAGCAGGTTTGATTCTCTCCCCATCACATGCAGAACTGAGAGGCAGGAAATGAAGAGAGTGGTTTATTTCCAATCTGGACTTCTGAAGTGCCTCAGGGAGTGTGGTGTGGTAGGATGGTCTTATTCTCAAAGGAAAGGCCAGCAGGAGCCCTGCGGGAGTAAGGAGAGGAAACTGCTTTTCCTTGCAAAATTGGCCAATTCCTAGGGACTTTGGATTCATACAGTTGTGGAGAGCTAGAAGGAAAGAAAAGTGGCTTAGCGCTTGTCTGTTTTTGTGCACTAGGGCTGGTATTACGTTGATTGTGTCTGCATGGGTGTGTACACCGAGGAAATGAGGCCTTTTCCACTAGTGAATAAAAGAAGGCAGCCGCTATGTGGAGAGAGTCAGAGAGGATGGTCGGTGTGTGTGTGAAGCGTAGCTGCTGTAATTTCATTAAGAGGCACAGTGAAAAGGATGTGTTAGAGAGATCTGGCTATGACAACAAAAATCACAGGGAAGACCAGAGGTTTCTTGTTTCCATATCATCTGGGCTGTCAGGTTTACTGAAAAAATGGACCAAGTTAGACCTAGGAAACCTACTACCACCACCTCCTACCCATCACCACCACCACTACCACCAAACGGAATACCCTTCTCTGCTACTCAGTATTCCTTTACTAAACATAAAATGCTTGACTTTTACCCCAATTCGGAGAGAACACTAGGCCTTTTTGTTGTTTCAGAAATGCTTTACATTTTTTTTTAGAAGTTAAAAAAAAAGATACATGTTCGAGTTTATGTGAGTCGGACAATACAGAAGCCCCAAAAGAAGCGGAAAAACTTGCCCTGAGCGTTATGGTAAACAGTTATGAAAGAAGAAATGACGAAATGCCACGTCTGTGCTGGGTTGTCTGCTTGTAGCCCCGGAGTCCGAGGAAAAAGTGTGATTTTTAGGTAATTAAGCGGATTTGGTCCATACAACTTCAAGTGGACAAAGGCTGGTGACTGCTTGCCTTTTTTTCTCCTGCTTTTCATGGGAAGGTTTTGGTATTGTGTGGGCCCAATCTTTATCTTTCTGCTTATAGATTAGAGAAAGGTCCACATCCTTCAGGCCCAACACTAGCCAATTCAAAAGTATTGGAGCTTAAGGGGGGATTTGGGTTGTGATTTTTCTATTCTGTTTGTTAAAAAAGAAAATCATGAATCAGAGACAGCTTGAGGGTCAACACAGCTGTCTGGCCAGTCAAATCTCCTTTAAGGAAGTCAGCCTGTGTCAAGAGGAGAAGAAACAGTTGTTGTAAAGTACTTAGCACAACAATATCCCTTCCATTTCAGCCCTCCAGGTTTGGGGAGGTTTGGGCTTATTAGCTGAGAGGGTCAGTTCTCCCCTTCACAAAGCTGTTTTTGGGAAGAGAAAATTGCAGGGATCAACTCAGCAGCTGTTGGCCAGAATCAAGATTTTATAGAGGGTGTGGGCTACATTATTGGAAGAGGTGTTGGTGTGACAGGGAAGATTTTTCTTTTAATTTTAATTTAAAAATATTTACTGACACATGGATATCCAAAATAAGTTTGCTGGGCACATTCTCAGAACAAGCCTGTTTGAGATTCACGTATTCTTTTCTGGAATTCCTTCTTTCTTCTATTCCCTATCTCAATTCTGTCCTGTTCTCCACAAATCAGGCTTTTAATGTACTTGATACTCTTAAGGGTATTAGGACCCTTGCTGTAGGAGAAAATGAGACAGTGGTTTCCCTGCCCCCAACTCTCTTTGCATTTGGCTCAGGAAAAAATTCCTTTATTCAACAGACTTTATGGAGCTTCTCTATGTAAAACCCTGGTTTCGATGAGGAGAGATAATTAGAAAAATCTTGGAGCCTGGCTGCAGGAGGCTTCTAGCCTGGCAGGCTTGGCAGATCTTTTACCCTGACTATCAGACTATCCAGGGGTTCCTGAAAGCTTCCTTCACTTAGACAGGACTAGGTATTAGCCAAAAGTTATCTGGAATGGCCACATGTTTATCCTGGAGGATACCACTCAGTTTGGGGGCAATAGCCGTGAAACTTGCGCTTTCCCTCTTTATTGCAATAGGAAAATAGTTCTCTCTCTCTCTCTCTGCATGTTGTATATGTTTTTTCCATACTTGAGTCCCAGATAAAGTAAATGGAGAGGGAAAAGGACATGTGTGTTAGGCACTAAGACATCAATGATGGCACATTATAGAGCATTTGACAGAAAAGTGAGTAGTGGACAGTACTTCAGTCCCCCACACTTGTAAAGTTCAAGTGCTGCTTCCACAAATTGAAAGGGAAGAATATGTAGCTGATGTTCACTCTCCGATGACCAGCATGAACACAGCTTTAACAGGAGAGGTGACCTATCACATTTATTTCAGCCATTTGTATGCATTTCCAGATGTTGGGAAATTCTGAATTTGCATTGGAATTATTACCTGTGTATCCCTGGTGTCAGGTCAGGCCTTCACTTAAATGGAAAGGGACTTGTTGGGGGTGGTGGTGGTGGTAATAGGGATAGGAGGGAGACTGGGGAGGGTGTGTGCGTATGGGGGGGACTGTGACAGTAACTAGAATCGCTTGATACATGTATGAAACTGTAAAAGAACTGCTTCAACACAAGTTATTTAAAGAGCCAAAATTCCATTCTGTCAACTGCTTGTTTTCACGTTCACCATGTGAAACATCAACTTTTTCTCATTAAAGAAACAGATTGATGGTGGCATCTTGGACAAGATTGTTCACTTAAAACCTCGGGATGCTTTACTAAGTGTTGGCCTCATCTACTGTAACACCCTTAGGAATACTTCACTTTTCAGTTATCCAAAACAAATAAGCATTCAAGGCCAGACTGTAGAATGGCGATTTGTGTGCACTCAGAAATCAAGAACTGGGAGTCACTGGCTGCTCATGATGTCGTCAAAGAAAAATAACCAGTTCTATGAAAAGACATCACTGGTGAAATTGATGAAGCTCTGCTATGAGATACACCACTCGAGCTGGGATAGGTAGGTGTGGATATTTCGGGAATGGATTCAGTTTGCTCCAGCATTCCTGAAAGTTAGCAGACAACCAAATATTTTCCAGCCTGGAAGACTTCTATTTATGTAACTGTTGTTCCCTATTTAAGTGCGCCTTCTGTGATCCTGCTAGTTCAGAGTTTTCCCTGAACCGGTTCCAAACAAGCACTGTAGCCATGCTTCAGTCGGAGACAGAAGAGGCCGTGGGATCACAGAAACGTGGCAATGTGATAGATAATTGAGCCTTCTGGATGGCGTCCCACTTTTAAATCAAATTTATATTGCCTCTTTCATGTGCCTGGTGGCTCATGGGTCAGGCAGGGCCTTCTCTCCTCACATATAAAGTTTATCATTATCACTTGGATTGTTTTGGACATCCTGGGGGCAGTGTGGGGTAGTATTGCTGTCATCAGAGCATCAGAGCATCAGAGCTGTTCCCACAGCACGGGAACTCCCCACATGTCAGCAGATCGCAGCTTGGGGAAGCCTTTCCTCTGAGGGCCTCCTTATGTTTTCTTCTTGGCCGTTTGGAGTAGATCAGCTGTCTGTCCAGAGAAAGGGGCAAACATGGGGGAAAGTAGCTGTCCCCCAATTACAATATTCTTTGGCTCTTCCTTTTGGTCTGGGGCTTGTCAGCTCCAGGTGAGGAAGACTTAGGCAACGTTCTTTGTTAGGACTGGTAGTGAACCCATTCTGCATTCCATCAAGGTGGTGCAGGAGGTGTGTCTGGAAGAGTTAGCTTGTTTTGTTCTGTTGTTATTAATTATTATTACTGTGATATTACTTAGAGATCAAAGTTGGGCATGCAGTTCTTCATAAAAGGAACCCACAGATGAAATTGTAGAGGCCATTGTCAGAGTGCTGGTCCACTTCACTTTTTGTTGGCCTGGTTTCTGGTACAATAAATAACATTTAAGGAATATAAAAATCAAACACAGCTAGGCAATAATTTTTGTCTGCATTCAATTGTAGGGGGTTTAGCTCACATTGAGAACAGTCCAGAGTTGTGGCTTTGTGGCTGTGTCTATACAACAGACTCTCTCTCTCTCTCTCTCTCTCTCTCTCTCTCTCTCTCTCTCTCTCTCCCTCTCTCTCTTTCTGTGTGTGTTTTCATTTTAGCAGATGATTGAAAATATTTTTTGCTTAGAGGTGATTTTTTTCACTTTTATTTGTATTAGTTCATAGAATCTAAGACTTAAAAATTGAAATTTGGTAGAATAGGCATTGATAATGTTCTATTGGGGATGAACATGGCTATGGGGCTTTTTTGATTTTTATTTTAATGGAGCACACTGTGAAAGGTGAC